TTGCTATTTGACTGGTCTTCCCGGTCTCCCACATTGTCCGGACGTTCCATGTACCTATAAAAATTGTTGCTCTGGTTTTTAGAATGGGTATCGGCCTCATGACTTCCGAAGAAACTCGGCTTTCATTATGAGGCGTCATATTTTTTCTAAATGAAGACCTTCTAACACCCAGGGCAGAGTTTAAATGGTTTGAGTTATTTTTCTGGTTAGCGTTTTTTTAGTGAGTTAGTTTTCTACGGGATGGGGACGCTAACCCCATGCCCAACCCTCCTCCTTTATCCGGGCTTGGGACCGGCAGTAACTCTAGGAGAGCTACAGGCTGAGTCACCACATATAGTATAAGCTGTAAATGTCTGAATTTATTGCTCTAGTTGAGAGGAAATATATAACATCCCCGGTGTGCGGATATCACTTAATATAAACGATTTTACTGATTTTTCGCACTCTATATTTGTTTATTATACTTTACCTCCTGTTTATATTCTTCTTTGCCTGATTATTTACATACTTCTCATTATTGAATTCTAATAATCTTCTGTGATTATTATTGTAGTCTATTTGTCCAAGTTTGACCTACTTCCTATGTTGAACTTTTATTATTTTATTAGTCTTAGCACTACTAGTACACCTATCTTCTTACTATCGATTTGTACTTTTTACCTATTATGTGTGACTATTAAATCTATTTCATTGCGATCATTGATTCAGAAATTGCTTTAATTAACCTAATATTTTAATTTATTCTTGTATATTGGTGTAAAGCTTGATGAAGATCTAAATCAGGACAATATTGTTCTCTTATATGTGTTGTCTCAAATCACTTTAATTTGTCATAGTACACATTTCAATTAATTAATAGTTTTGTAATGTGATATATATATTCTTGATGAAAGTTATTCAATCTTGAACGTGTGTATTAACTACCTACTGATAAAATGACATTTAGTCAGAATCTGGGACATTTCGATTTACTGGCCTTACGTAACACCGGTTAGTCTTATCCGTATTCAAATTAGTAAATTTATTCTAATCTAATTATCACGACCAGTTTGCGGTTTTTAAAAATTTGAATTAACTCATTTGCCGGTGATTTCAGTATGAGAGGTATTTGATAGTTTGAACCAAGAACCTAGATAGATGTCTCGATTGTTGATAAATACCGATCTGTGGGTGTAATCAGTTTTAACTTAAAGTATACTGGTTATTATTATTTCATCTCATATGGCAATGAATTACTTAAGTACTTTTTATATAATTCTATTTTATACTAATAATTTTGAGCTATTGAGACTTAATGAACCGAAACCAAATCGTATATATTACGTGCTTTGCTTGATTATGGCTAATATGGTATACGGCTTCGGTATTCGTATGCATGGAACCCAGTCTCAAAACAAAAGAGATGGAAGAAGGTAAAAGAAGCGTTTATTGAGTAGGTGTACGAAATGTACGGAAACAGGTGTATTGATAGTTTTTGGACAGAGATTATAACATCATTACAATCCAGCTAATCCGGAAGTAGGATGTTTGTACAACTATCCGATCACAACATGTCACGTTGACATTCTAGAAATATCTATCTGGTTGTGGTTGGACGGAATCTCTTCGTCTCCTTTAGAGTCTCTGAAGGATATGTTGCACTTTCTGGGAGGCATTTCAACGGTTTATTTGCGTTATAATGACATAATGATTAGTTTCTTTCCAAAATTAACGAATTTGTGCAGATTTTACGTTTATTTAGGTTCGTGTTCTAATAAAAAGGATTATTTCTGTTTTTAAAACTTGTGACTTTGTGATAATATCTCTTCGCGATGCCAATTTGAGGTCATTCAAGTACACCAGGATATTTTTTATTGAATGACGAACTGGACCAATGCCAACCGTCACCTTGTTTACGAATGTAATATATATATATATATATATATATATATATATATATATATCAACTCACCAAATTACCACTTCAGTTCAATAATTATTGATCACTTTCTGTCAGTTGATGGTTTAAATAAACCTATAAAATTATACCATTGACTTATTGTTAAAAAGATATCTAGAGCACCATAGATATGAAATTCTAGTCAGAAAATACACCTATGACGATGATAATCATGATGACAAAAATCAGTTGGAAAAAGTCAATCAATCACATTAATGCAATATTTCCGTAAATGGTGATATTGATCCATACATTCATTGTATTATATTTATTGAATAATTGATAATTATGCAAAATGGGTTTTAGTTTTAGTGAACTTAATTATTTAATCAGTTCATAAATATATTTTGATAATGTAATAAAAAGACGAAGATTTTCAGAACTATGTGATATATTAGCGCAATACATTTCAAACAATCGGATTGTTCTGTGTCATCAAAATTTTTTATACTTACATAACTGGTTTTTATCGGTTTAAACTACTGATTTTCCACATTTTGCTTAAATATCAGTCAATTAAAAATACTTAAATTGGCTCATGAATTCAACTATTAAAATTACTAAAATCTCCACAAACCCCCATTCTGTTCATAATCATCATGTACTGACTAGTGACTGGCTTCAAGATGTATTACCTGAAGTTCCAATGAGAAGCCGTAGAGTTCAACTGTGTCTGTTGTGAGGCAGTTACTCACTGAAGACAATGGTGGACGGTGGCACAATATCATGGATTGGTTGAAGTTAGACATTAATACCGTTGAATGCCGGCTCAGTGGTTAAACCTTCACCCAGGTGACCGAAGGTCCTGTGTTCGAATCCCGCGAGTAGGGTCGTAAATGCGCACTGCTGAGGAGTCCCACACGGACGGAACGTCTGTCCAGTGCTTCCAGGTTTTCCATGGTGGTCTAGCTTTAAATGACTCATGAATTCAAGTATTATATATATGATTTATAAAAACCAGTTGGAAATACTTCGTACTTTTTTAAGCATAGCAATACCATGTATGTTCCATGTTAGTACATTTTTGGTTTATGTATAATATTTAATCTGTTGTTATTAAAATGAAAACACTTGACAAGAAATATTTAGCGAATAGATAAATTTTATAGTTTATTTGTTGATTTACTTATACACAAAAAGTCACTGTCATAATAATTTTTGTTTTTTATAATTCCCTCCATTTTACTTTTGTCCTTTTTGAGAGTATGACGTCAAAGTGTTCTCCAACTATTTACGATCCAGTAGTCTATACTAACAAATAGTATAAAATATCAAACTGGAAATAGTAAATTTTAATTTCTTATAAACATTTATGAAAGTTAGATCTTACTCGACAAACAGCCTTGTATTTTGTATGTTGTCTTTCTATGATAATCATAAACTTTTCAGAACATTTGAATTGATTCCAGTTACTTCTGGTGTGTAGTGGAGGTGTAATCTTGTGCATTCCAATAATTTATTCTTAACTTAGCATATAGCCGAGAAAGCTTCTTCCATCATGATACTATGTCCATTGTCTGTTAGATGGGAAAGAATGGCGCAGCTTATAGACTTATTGACACCTTAGTCCAGTCACCTGTGCACATGTTCTCGAATACGTAAAGATAACTTTCTCTGAGTACGACCTATGTTACCAGATCCTCTGGAGCAGTTTAACTGATAAACGTATATTTATAAACCCATTATTGCTACTTTGTACTTGATTTTCTGCATCATCGTTGGGCCAGTTGGAGAATTAATACGCAATTTATGGAAACTGAAACGAATTTCAGTGGATGTATGAGAATATTCTTCACTACATCATCTTTGAAACCAAGTCTTAGAGTGTTTTCTTCTCAATCATAGCAGTTTGTGGCTTGTTTTCCAGTTCAATCATTTATTTCTTTGTTCAATTTATAAATTATTCGTTTTGCAGTAACATTACCTTTTATTCATGCAGCTTTTCTCCCACACTATCTTCAGGGTATATTCGTTAGTACATATTGTAACCTTCATCTACGTTTCCTTTCATACAGATCTATACTACCTCTTCCATAACAAATTCTTAATTATACAATAATCTTCTTTTGTTTCAAATCACCTTATCTCTAAAATAAACACGACACACTATATCCAATTTATACTTGTTATTTTACATAAGACTTTTTTTAATGGCATTCATCATCTTTAGTCATTAACTATTGTGTTATCCTTCGTTGCATGATCTTTTTAATTTAACCAGTGATCCATTTCGTTAGTATTGAAATTCATCCAACGTGTCATCCACTGTTTTCATTTTATGTTACTGATCATTCCAACCACATCATTCATATAATGTAATACAATATTCATGCATTTATAACTATAAAGTCTAAAAAAGATATCAAGTATGGTTGTTCGTTAATAAATTATGTGTGTTTATAATTTTCTGTGAGAACTTTTTCAAATAACCATAATATTCAGTTTGTAAATGGTATTCTGTAAATGTTGGTAGAGAAAGCATGTAGTCTGATATCTTGAATATTCATAAAGATTTGTACTATCCCTTTGTAGATATTCATTTCCTAACTTTCAGCACTCTCGGTGAGACTATAATTTATGGACTACCTTTGAGCCACGCCAGACTGACCTTGAGAGTATCCATCTAATAACCAGGACTAAATGCCAAAACTTTATTTATCCGAATGAATGAGTGAATTTCGCGTCAAAATCTGAGACCTGTTGTCTTATACGTGATTGGTTCGTTCATAAATTATAGTCTCGCCGCAGTCTTTATTGGTATATACATGTTTAGCGGATCTCCTTGATTTAGCTTTCTTTTTTTTTTACAAATTCTTATGTGTTTGGCTAGTAGCTTAAAGTGAAACTGTGAATAAGCGCTTCACCTTATTTTGAACTAGTTAACTGAGTACATCAGTATCTCATTCATAGTGTCAGCATTGCGATTCGAACCTACTACCTTCCTATTTTCAATGTGTTTTTTTTACATTTCTATTTGTACAACCACACTTTATGTGCTTTACTTACTCATTAAAACGCAACAAAAGGGTAAATCAAATACCTATTTATCTGTTCCACTTAGGTTACCAAGGCAATGCAAAGTTCTAGGTATAGATGTTCCTGACTACTTCAAACAATGGATAAATTTGAAACAGGTTAGTTTATTCCAGTAACAATACCCATTTATTCTTTATTCTATTAAACTTTTAAACCGATAAACAGTAGTGATTATGATCTCTATATTTAATACTATATCGTTGATTACAATTCATTATGTAATGTTACGTCAACTTCCTATTTTATATGCGTTATAGAAATTTAAAATGTATTAAGATGTTTTTCAACGGTGGTTATTAGCCAATGACCTCCATCCACGAATGCTTGTAACCAGTTTTGCCGTTATAACATCCTTTTTGATTCGTCAATATGTTTTAGTCTCCATTCGTTTTTCAAAAAGAAGGAAACAAACCATTTTTGTGGTAGTTTTAATTAAATTTTACAGCAGTCAACTTTACAATAGGTTGTTAACGTAAAAACTCACATGTACACGAGATTATCATAAAAGAAGACGCAAATTTATTACTTTTTCTGTTCTGGTTAACGAAACACAAATCTCTACTTATTTGGTATTATTTCCAGAAGTTCTCATAACTCTAAATTCCCTTGCAACAATATCGAGCATTGCTAACAACTTGTAATATTTATCTTTTTTCATTTCACAGAATAAAACTAATTTCAAAATTACCTGATTTTATCTGTATAAGTTGTGATAAAATTTTGTAGACATAGCAAAGCGAGTATTATTTTCTCAAAAAAAAAAAAACATGTGAATCAAACTTGTCAATATAATCATTCTGTATTCTTTACATACGAAACAGTATCATGTAAATATAAAAATTAACCGATTACTTTACATATTATAGAGAATTTTGTCTACAGGTATATTTTTTGAGCACATTTTCAACTAACCTATCAAACTGGAGTCTTGGAGTAGTTATGAACAAGACAAGTTAAACTCAGTCATTAAGATTTTTTACGTTTCTAGGAGATAAGTTAATACTATTAGTACTCAAGCAGGGAATAAGATAGTAGTTTAGTCAAGTAGATAAGAGGGACAATTACATTATGCATAATATAATAAACAGTAACGTAAGGTCCAATAAAACTAAAGTAATGGAAGAAAGTCATAATTATCATTGATAAGTAAGTAGAGACAAACGGACCAAGTGGATTGGTGGGTGTTTAAATTAGTGTTTTTGACCGCTTTAGTTATGGATCATAACTAACTCCTAATTATTAAATGTGTTCTTGTCCTATTTCGACCTTGAAGATAGATGATCAAAATACATTTCATTAACCAGCAAAGGTACACTGTAATCATCCCTGAATCATACTTATTCTGTGATGACTAAAAACGTAACTAGGCATCAGAAATTGCAATTATATAGTTAGCTTAAAATTTCATTAGCTAACCACAATTTTAGTTGTTTCAATGTGTATAACTTTAATCCAGTTGACCGTTGTAGTTGTAAATAGATTAGTATCGAAAATTTAAATCCGTTCCATGGGTGGATTTATCAGTAATAATAATGTCAAATATTATTTATATTTGTAGAGTTGGGAATTCGGATCGAGTAATAGATATTTCTTGGTTGTTTTATTATTTATCGTTTTATTCGTAACATCCTTTCACACAATGTATGGAAATACGATAGTTTATAAACTGCTTGATAATTTTTTTGGTTTCACAGGTATATTGCAATGTGATGGGGCAATTTCCATTCGGTATGATGTCCATGCTGTCGGGACTAAATATAAAACCCACTGGTCGTCATCATAGTGGTATTGGTAATATGTAGTATTATCATTATTTTTATTTTTACTCACTTCGTAGTCTTAGGAACTAAGTTAATCTATAGAAACTTCTTTTCATGAAATATCTGTTGATGAACTAGTTAAATTAGCAATCCCTGATCGTATGTTACATCCTTCTTAAGATTCGCTGTCAGATCTAAAGTATATTGACTTTGACAGTTTAGGGCTGTGGAGATTGCTGAGTTTCATTGAGATCATGAGTTTTAGACCACCAATGAAAATTCGGAAGCACTGAAAGGCCGTCTCATTTTAGTAGGAGACTCTTTATCGGTGAGCGCGCGGTACTATTCATGAAACTTAGATTATTACTGTTAAATTCACCGCGATCTTTATCTTGATTTGGCTGTTGTTTTCATACTATTTTATTGTTACATGATAAAAAAATAAGTGATGTAAGTTTTCGAATCATTGTTTCTATAGGTGAGTTAGTGGTCGATAAACTACTTCTCACAATTTCCTTTAAATGCAGGCTGAAGAATGTCATCTAATCAAAGGTGATATAGGATTTTGCATATCTCAGCCATAACGTCTAAACTTATTGATTAGGTTCAATATAACCGTTAACGAATTCAAAAATTGATATCACATATTCATTTGACCGCTCTTAGATTTCCTACATCTTTTCTGATTGTCACTCACTTGATGACTGCACGATACATCAACAATGACATCTGCAATTAAATATTTAGAAATCGCGTTTGTGTTTTATTACCATTGTCCATCTCTCATAGCTATAGACTAATTCAAACTAGACTCTTAACTATTATATCTTTCTTAGTAAATATTTGTTCAGCCTAAATATGTATTTCAATATTTTTGTTCATAGGAGTTAAACTAGAAGTAGTTTTGAAATTTAGTGCTCGTTCTATCAAGTTATTACTAAGTGCTTGAGTTATCCGTTGGTGATATTAACGATTAAATTTTAATCAGCCTTCGTTGACGTCACTACATTCTGTATATATTGCCTGATATAGCCATTTTACAAGTCATTTAGACTAAGTGGATTGTAGATAAACGTTATTGGCTCTCTAGACTTAGTAGCTTAGTAGGTATAGAATTGGTCATTTAAAGCGAAAGATACTGTGTTCGAGCCTCAATATGAACATCCGTACTGGGATGCAGGCACATCCAACTAACTAGTCAAGGACAAGACGAATATAACTTCCTGGATTCGATTGCTAGCCATAGTTTATTTATTCTGCATAACTCGATGCCTATTTAGCTATATATTAGTATTTGTTTGCATTTTACTGTTCGTCTTTTTGTGATTTCATCCTAGATGATTGTCATAATATCGCAAATATTTTATGTCAATTAATCCGATGTGGTGCTACTCTAGATATTACTGGAAACATAAAATAGTATATCTTGTTTCAATATATGTTGATTGATAATCACTTCATTTTTTCCTGTCAGAAAATGTATATATTCCGTCTTGAATGAAATGTTCCATATTAAACCTGCGGTAAAAATAACATACAATAATCAATCCAAAGTTTTGAGTGAAATGAATAACAAAATTTGATTTGGTGCCAAAAGATAAGCTTATTATGCAAATGTAAATATCAAAAATAATAAATTTATATTTAAGTATTAGACAAAGTGTTACGGTTACATGAAAGGTGTATGTGGAGGAGTTTCCATGCATTCACATAAAGACATACAGAGTATTCTTACAGTATTAGAATTGAAAATATATGTTGCAAGTAATAAGATATGATTACAGTATTAACTAGATTGAATATTTTCGGCTTATATACATACTGAAGAATATGTCTATAAATTTACGTCACACTGGATGTCAAAAGTTATCAGAAATTAATTCGGCTACTGAATCTTATTAGTTAGTGTGGATTAGTAATCGGAAGGAATTAGGATAAGAAAAAAAAATGAAGATGTATAATGTACATAGATTTAACACTGCCACCAACCCACCCACCAAAAAGGACGACATAACTTTCCTTACTTTCACTGAATAAGTAAAAAAAAGTTATAGCGCGACCGTTACTGGGTCTCATTCTGAACCATGTTTTATGACGTCTCAATCTACTGTATTTCACCACCTCTAGGATCCTGACCAGGGAGTCGTGAAGGACCGACAAAAGTCAATCCTGTGCAGCTGTTTTTCATACCTCAACACCATATTATGTACTGGATACTACTTCACATTTTCCATACGCTGTCGAACCTCTGAATTACTAACATGGTGTAGCCACTGATTATCAGCGATCTCCCGGAGACAACGATGTTGAAACACATAAAATTGTCTGAAATCCTCAATTTGGATAGGCAAGGTTTCACAAACAGGTCAAAACTGCTCCAATCGACGGGTTACATATCCAACATTTTACAGCCAGACTAACCATGGAGGCTCTGAAGATGGCCCAGAATGACATAAGCCGCTCTGGCTTTCACTATACGTGCATTGATCTCATCAATCACGCCACCACCAATACTTACACAGCTACCTAGATACACGAGTCTCTTGACTACTTCTATCTGCTCACCATCCAGAGTGAGTACAGGATTAGAATCCTGCCAGTCTTGTAGGAGTACTTTGCACTTCGGAGGTGCGAAGCACATACCATACCTACGGACACTGATTGCCAACCGATTAAGTGCGGATAGCATGGCTTGGGCATTCTCGCACAGTAAGACAATATCATCCGCATACTCAAGGTCGAGAAGTCTTTCTCCAGGCAACAGATCCACACCACCATTACTTACATCCATCAGAGCTGTTTCCAGAATGTCATCGATGGCAAAGTTGAAGAGGAATGGTGAGATTGGGCAACCCTGCCTAACCCCACTGCTCGAATGAAATAGTGGAGAAAGGTAGTTGTATGCCTTCACTCTGCCTGAGGTGTTTGTGTATAGGGCTTTTAGGATGTTAATAAACTTCTCAGGCACACCCTTCTTCAATAGACAATCCCAGAGAACAGTTCTGTTCAACGAATCGAAGGCAGCCCTGATATCAAGAAACACTACGATTGTTGGGCTTTGATAAGTATGGCGGTGTTCTAACACTTGGCGGAGGGTGAAGATATGATCAATACATCCTCGACCAGAACGAAACCCAGCCTGCTCCTCGCGAGTCAATCCTTCTCGGGTTCTGAACAACCTACGAAGTATGACGGAAGCCAATAGCTTGGACGCACTCGGAAGTAGACTTATCCCCTGATAGTTTTTACAGGGATGACGTGTACTTTTTTTAAAGATAGGGACAAGTATGATGTTGGAACACTCTCTAACTGCCAATCCTTTGTAAACAACTCAGACAATTGATTAACCAGAAATGCACAACCGCCTTTAAAAAGGGTTGGAGGTAAGTCTTTTGGGCCAGGTAATATGTCGCTCCACAGGTGTTGTAGTTCTTTAGGGGCCTGTACATCGTTTGGTGGATTGGTATGTACAGGTCATGGAGGAAAGGACAGTCTGATTGATGTGGTCTGGGCAGCTGGCCGGTTGAATTATTGCTTGAAATGCTATGCTCATCTTCTAAGACGTCCGTAGGTGTTATTAATTAGCATCTCATCTTCGCAGATTGTTTAACTCTACCTGACCTCTTCCTGTAGTGACTCGGATGAATTGAAAGAGCTCCCTGCAGTTGCCAGACGCAGCTGAAGGCTCTATCTAATTTCGTCTCTTCATTTGTGGTCAAACTTGCGGTCATCCGGAGTAGAAGACAGGTTTCATTGAGTTTTAAGGGCTGTGAAAAAACAATGCTCATAAATCGAACGTTTTGCGAAGCCTTAAGCGACTGTCTTCACCATTTTCATATCGTCATTTAATTGTTACCGATGCCCGTCTATATTTTACTGTCGGACGGCAGCTAGTCTTGAACCTAGCTCGGTTCCATATCTAGTTTCGACAGAAGCTGCAGCCAATTTGCTGACGTCAATCCATTTAGGATGGTGAATTTGTTTGCCACTAAAAAGTCCATATAGGTACTCCTAAAGGAATGGTGGTATTTTACACAACTGCATCGTCGGCAGCTGTTCTCGATATGATCAATCTGAATCCAGGCTTGAGATGCAGGAGGATGCCAGGCAGCACATCGATGACGACTGTTCCGGTAGTAAGTGCTATCCAGAAACAGGTTGTAGCCTGCGCATAGTTACAGTAGACGGTCACCGTCACCCGACCTTCGACGAATAAGTTCCCATCAGTCACCTAAACGACTCTCTTTTGTGAACTAGACACCCGAACTGGAAATTCAAGTCTCCGACCAGTACTATAATATCTATCGGAGGACAGGTAACTGTTGGTAAATCTCATCCTTGATCAGATCCGGGCAACAATCTATCGGAGACGACACATATACATCGTTTCTCACACCTTCATGGGACTAACAACACGTAGCCGTCTGTTGATGGGGATCTAATCGGTTTGTGCTACCTCAAATCTAGTGTTTAGTGCGACACCAACTCTAGGAAAATTAGACGAAGATGCCATGAGATCCCTGGAAATATATACGTGAAACAAGATGTTCAAAGTGAATTTTTAGTACTTCATTGACGCCCTGAATACAGTTATGTGACAGAAAGCAAATGTTGATGTTGAGACTTTCCAAAGACATAGTCAAATCCATCTGTTATCCCATTTGCATTAGTGCGCGGACGTTGATTTAGGCCAGTTTGTCTGGTTCAGAATTCGTATCCGATGAAAGCACTCAACCTTCGACTAGTCAGTGACTTGGGATCGTTTAGATAGCAAATTTTCTCCACGATAGGCGGTCGCTGCAGAAGTTGAATAATAAATGCAATATAACAAATGGAAATGAAGGAATGGACAAACGGCTTGATGTCAAATAAAAACGAGTATTAACAAGAAGCTTTGAATATAATTCGCATGAATGATAATTGAAACACGATTAATCGCTCCCTGAGCCTTCGACCTAGAGGTTAGATCTGCTAGTCAGTGTAGAGACGTTGGGAGATGTAGTCTCGTGGTAGACGATGGGCAGCAATAAGCTCGTGTATCATTCATTCCCTCAGGATTCCGAAGCCCATGCCCACTGATGGTTTGGAATCAGTGTCTTCCGACTACTTTAGGTGGATCCTCCTTACCATCCAATCCGATTAAAGTGAGGACATTCACTTCTCGTTCCCTGAATTTCGTGAATAACAGCACCACCATGAGAAGGCAGAGTAAAACTTCCCCAACAGTTACCACACGAATAACCATATAGGAGCATTTCGAGAGAGAACACACCCTCCCTACAATCGTGCGTGCCAGGGTATATGGGATTATGTATTCGAGCGTATTGTATAACGATGAGTTGCTTCGTATAGATTTGTGTGTGAGTTTAACTACGAACATGGTGTCCTCACTAACTATTTTGTTGAAGACATTAATTTGCAAATCTCCAACGACTCTTGTTGATTCTCCACGTTTCATTTCGTCTCATAATATCTTCATAGCCGGCGTGATTCATTTCGACTGTTGCGTATAGGTCTCACATAAGCATGAGCAGTTCCTGTCCTGGGGACTTCTTTACTGTTGATTTCGGCGTCTCATAAAACTTATGTTTGTCATCTTCGTGACCATGATTGATGAGTGTATAAAACTGGACGCTATCCATTTTCATCCCGTCTTTGTTCGCTCTGATACATGCTTTGATAGTTCAGATTCTCATAAAATAAGCGCTTTTCATGCTTTATTGGACAGGATCAATGCACTTTCTTCTTCTTCTTCAAAACCGGAGTACAACAGAACTTTAGATGAAGTCCAATATTTTTTTTCCAAGCTTGCGTCCAGACTACTTAATAAGATTCAGAAACCGACCACTTCTAATAAACTTTGACATCCAGTGTGATATAAATCTGCCATCATATAATATTCTTGAGTACGTAAATAGAGTGATTGTATTCAGTTTAGTTGTTATTAGTATCACATTGTGTTATTACTTGTGAAAGCCATACTTTATTCTTGATAATCCATTGGACGTTCGTTCTATTGTGTCATATTCTAATTCAGTACTCCTGGTTCCGAATTTGATGCAGATCGGTAAGGTAAGATCGTCTCGAAGGATCTGCAGAAATATTTTCTTCCGTGAAAATATAGTTGTGCATAGTTTTAATGAAGGTGATCAATAGCTCACTACTGGCTGTACAGACCCAAAATCCGGTTTGGCATTTTCACTATTTAGACCTGAAGTGCAAGTTCATTTGAAGTTAAGCATACATAGCTGACCGACGTCGCCTACTTTGTCTAGATTTCGGTGCTGAAATGGAAGGTACGCGCCTTTCGGAAGAATTATGGTTAATATCATCACTTACTTTCTGAAGACAAGTACCTAACCCTGACGCTTTGCATTTACACCACATCTGCCAATTTTAGGGAAATTTTGACTGTTTCCACATAATCATATGAAAATTTGTGGTTTTCCCCAAAGCTTGGAGAGATTTTGAGGGAAAACCTTAAACTATTAGGTATGTTAGTAATTTCATCAAATTCATAAAAAATTCAGAAGCAAACTGCAGAATCCATGTAGTGCGGCTTTGTGGACAGTATATTGTTTGATGTTTTTACGACACAATTACGGTGAATTACAATGTTGCATAATTACCTAGTTCACTGCTCATTCCG